CCTTGACGAAATGTGGTCGACGAAGTATGGCTGAGTTGTCGCCTTTCAGTTCTCACCGAAGCAGAAGCAGGTATGATTACACTTATAAATACTCGACTTCTTATCCGACTCCTCGCTCGTCCTATAATACTTCAAATCGAGCGGTGCTCGTTTCGTTCAAGGCGTTACAAACTTGAAGCCTACGCCCCGTGCGAAATAACGGCACGCTCTCGCAAATCAACGAGGCCGTAAGCCTCAACGCGCAAATGCCTTCGCCTCGCCTTTTAGTGCGCCTTAGTGCGTACCCTCTTCCGGCTTTTTTAATCGTTAAATGCTTGACTGAAAGCTATTTGCTAGTTGGAGGTATTCTGCATTCATACTATGAGTCAAAGGAAGCACACAAGAATCATGGTGAAAATGCTCAACCCATCACTTTAGGTGGGAGGCCAATCAAATTCTTCTTCAAAAAAATTTAATAATTTTATTCATATAGATTCCAAGTCAGGGAGCGATATTTTGCAGTCCATCTCTCTCTCTCTCTCTCTCTTCTCGTCTCTTCTCTCTCTAATATATAATATTATAGTATATTAGATTTGAGATTTGAACCTCTAAACGCTTATTATTTTGGAAGAGGAGAGGCAATGCCACTCAACTAAAGGCTGGTCTTTAATAGTTAAATAAACATTGAAGTGACTACAATGCACTTTTTTTGCTAGTTGTGATTTGGTTATTGAACTTTGGATGGCGGTTGGGCAGATTCATTCTCAGGTAAATTTCATCACATATTATCAAATCCAGACTGACTGTTTCGAGTCAATGCAACTTATTTATCTCTTTGGTGGCTTGCTTGAGGGTTCAGTTTGGTTGTCTTTATTGTTTTATTTTTTTGGCAGAATCGCCAAGTGGCTAGTTTCCAGATGGTTGGAATGGGTTGATGATTGGCAGGTTGATGGCACTTCAACAGAAACTCAATGATGGCTGGGTTTAATGCACTATACTGACGCATTCTGAAATGGCCTGAATCAATTAGATAGACGTAAATGTCATTAATTATGCCAAGACAAAAGAAGATGGATTAGGCGTAGAAAATACACATCAGTATGAACCAGACAGTGTGATTCCGTTGGAACTACTCGAACCAGGTCATCTTATTCCTACTTGCCTCTTCTTGCTCTTTGTCGCATCTGTGGTTTCTTAATGTCTTACAGTAGTTGAAGGCGTCAAAATTTCTATGAATCAAAAGAGTTTCTTGGAGTTCTGTAGTAGACAAATATGTGCGATAAGAGAATTAGATATTCTGAAGCGCTCAAAATAATGTATTTCCGTGACTTATTGAAGCTGATGAGCTTTTATATTGCTCGAATGAGTGAAGCTTTCTTCAGAATAAGGACCAGGGTTTGCTGGTTTTGTTTAAGCATACAAGCCACCAAAATGTGGAAAAGATATTCAGTCAAATCCCATACATGACTGAAATCACTATATGTTCACCTTTATCTATAACAAATTTCCGTCCCCTTTTAACTGCTGAATTTGCTGTTATTAGTATAAAGAGGGTGGAGAAGCAACTACCTGCTCTCAGGGTACTCTCATTCCTGGTAAAAACTGTAAAGTATCTATAATGCTGATATGCAAAAACCATTATTCTTTATCAGTTACACCACAAGGAGGGTTGGGTCTAATACATGTATGGCTTAAAATCAATTGAAATTGCTTTTTTTTTTCATGTGTATTTGAATCCTTTCGACAGATCTTTCTTTTACTGAAGGAGCCCATTCCTTATCAAGCCCAAGAAAATATCAAACCAAGTGATGAGTCTAAGAATTTCTTTAATTCGGGAAGGTTTGCTCAATGTGGAGCTGGATGTCGTTGTTTTCTTAGTTTGAGTTTTTTTTTGGTTTTCTTATGAACTTCTACCATTATGCAGGGGTTGACATGGTCATTGGAACAAAATATGACGAAGGAAGTTAATTGCAGGAAAAATTCGAATATTGTACATTTTTGATTGGCAAGTTGCAAAGATGTCCCATATACTTTGTACTTTATGGACAAATCTGCAAAAACGGAATAGAGAAACTTTCTTCTTTATTGCCACATCTAATATGGAATAATCAAAAGTTCTTTGGAAATCACTGATGAGAGATGACTAATGGATACACCATAGCTTTCTGCACGTTAACTTCAAAGATTTGGGTTATAATCTGTATCTTTAAAAACACCTGGCATAGAGCAGTTCCAGTCCTGTTAGAGATCTGTCTCCTTGGTGACATGGTAATGTTTTGTATGGTACCTATTAATGTAAAGCTGATCATTTTCTAGAAAATTTTTCCATGCATTTGTTATTTTAATTTTAGGGTGGTTCTATTGATCTTTATGTTATGCAAATGAACGGAAAGTGTATGAGGCTATTTTATTTCTCAAGCCTCCCATATGAGTCTATTCTACAAAGGTATGTATCGCACTAATTTTCTTGCCAGGTTTTAGAAATACATCCTTCTCAACTTTTGGCTGGTCTTTCAGGTTTATTTGGTGGTGGTCCGTTTATGACACTTCACAACAGGCTTGGTAGAGACGTGCTATTAAGTTCAATATTGACGATCAACCAAAGGTTTCTTGAATGTTCGACACAAGGGTTTTCTTTTGTTTATTGTAATGCAGGAATGAAACAAATTCAGGTGCTTGTCTGGCTTCCAACTTCTTGAACATTCTCCTTTTATTTGGGAAATCATTCTTTTTGTCTACCATAGATAGTATTAATTTCTAACGAGTTGATTATTTTAACTCTCTGCTTGTTCTTTTTGATTTAATCATTATGGTAATTTTTTTCCCAAATCGTTAATAATATTTATTTATTTTTGAAGCACCCGGTTATATTTCTGACTATTTAAACTTTTTAGATTTATTATAGGCACTTTTGGATATTCAACTTGTTATCTTTTTAATCAAATTGTTCTTTTCATTGGTTAGTCATTTCATGCTAGTAAAATTGCATAAAGTTCTTCCTTCTTCTTGTTTCTTAGTTCTTTTGATCTTCCATCATCAATGGGTAGGTTTTTTTTTCTGAATGTTGTTCATTTGAGATTGAATGTAGTTTTTTTTTTTATTTTAGTTTTTTACCCCTTGTTTTGGAATCAGTCCAGTACAACTTTTTTAGGCTGCAAATAGTTAGTTTTAAAATAATGATACCAATCAAAAAATATAGGGGATCCCAATATTTTTTTATCACAAATAGAACAACCTTCCTAGAAACAATTAAAGTACATAAAATGCTTAAACAAACGTTTAATATTAAATGACAGACTTACAAACTTTGGACTAAACAAGACACCCTAAAGTTGTTATTTGGAAGAGGGATACAGGTGGGGGTGTAACTTGCGGAGAGACGAAATAGGTTAGAAAGCCAAGGACGAGGTTGGAAAGAGCTCGCAGATTTTCGGGGGGAATGAGAAAGAAGACGGACAAAGCTCGCAAGCTTTTTCCAATGAAACCGCAGGTTCTCATTTTCCCAAAAAATACAATCAATAAAATTCACTCTCAAAACATTACAATACATCTATATTTATAGGTATGAGAATATGAAAAGGACAGCTTAATTAACTTACACATAAGAACCTAAGCATCACAAAATTAAAACATAGAAATCCTCCCCCCTTGCTTCTGGATATTCAGCCCCAAACCAGGGAACCGAAACAGCACCACGGCCCAAGGAGCCGCGTGGGTGCCAGGGGCATGGCCTCAGGAAAGAAGCCCAGGCACGGAAAATCAAGCGGCCGACCGGATTCCATGGGGCAAAAATGCAAAATAGCGAAAGCCAAGGAGGACCAAAGGCCACCTCAATGGGGAAAAGAAAATCTTGGAATTCCAAAGGCCGGTTTGGATTCCAAGAGACAAACATAAATACTAACATAAAAAGCATAAAGAACATTTAATTAAAAGATAAACAAGTTCGAACATAGCTGGAGGCGATCGAAGGTAACGATTTATTTCTTCTTCTTCTCTTGCTTCCCGTAATCTTCCCGTCATTTGCTTCATGTCTCGCTTCTTATTCTCCAGCTTCTTGTAATCGAAGGTTCTTTTTCACGGCTATGTAACGATCTTTCTTCCCGTTATTTGCTTCATATCTCGCTTCATCAGATTGTACATGCTCGGTACTGCTCAGTACATGCTTGGTACCGAACAAGTACATGCTCGGTACTTAGCGGTACATGCTCGGTACCGCTCGGTATTGAGCGGTACACGCTCGGTACTGAGCGGTACACGCTCGGTA